AACGTTTTGATTTACTTTGTGTACATACACGAAAGAACGGACATATGCGTCTGCGTCATTTTAAAGCTATTCCTCCGAGTTCTGCGACTTGAAATCGCGTAGTTTACTTTCAAATAAATTGTGCCTGTGTTCTGAGTTATATTTGAATTACCGAGTCAGTTCGGTGGAGTGTGTTTTCTCCATAATCTCCACCGCTGTGTAAGTTAACAGACGGACGCGATACATTTAATGCCCCCTCCTCGTCGTAATTACTAAGTCGGGAAAACGTGTATGATCAAAATCTGTGGCGCAGAATCAGTTCAGTTTGGCTGGCGTCTGGGAAAGCCAACATATAAATCTACTGATCCGCAGCGGAGCAGAGAAAAGCGACCCACCCACTAGGTTCACTTGGTCCCAGTCGAGTAAGTCATCTGTGTCCAAACGCTTGTTAAACTGTTCGAGACACTTTCGAGTTGAACACGGAAGTTGTACTTCTGTGAAAGGCGAAGTATGTATACTTGCACATAGAATAATGTTAATTCAGCCATGCATGCATATTGAGTGCGTATAAGTGTATATTGATCTATCTGAAGCAATCGGGCCTCTAATCGGGCTGTTTTCGATTCTTGAGAACCTTCGATTTTAAGGCTTGCGGGATACGGTACTATTTAACAGGTAAATGCATTATTCAACGTCGTATTTTAGACGAAATATGCTCCATAAGCTATTAACTGTATTTTCTTGTTTAAAACGTTTTACACTTACAAGTCTTTTTGTTTCCATGAAAATCATTAAAGACGTGCAAAATCGCCAAAGTGAAATTGAAACGTGTAATTTAGTGTTTTTAAAAAATATCATGAGAAGTGAAGGGAAAGTTTCGACTTCGATCTACAGAGAGGGAAAGAGTAAGCTTTGCCAGTTTTAATTTACATGGGCACCATTAGTTTATGCCAGTTGTTTCCCCGGACACTCGCTAAATATGACTGCTCGCCGTCTTGTCTAGGAGGGGAGGGGACTGTAGTTCCGATAGGCATCGGAACCCATCATGGGTTACAATATATATTAAACAGATAACACCGGTGAAAGTAATCGTATACTGGTCGAGATTGAGAACAGTCTAGTATGTAGAAGTGTACGTTACTTCTGGCCAATTTCACTGCTTAACTGCCTATGTATGCCACACACCAAGTGCTGTGCTCCGTCGATAAAGACCGTCGTAACAAATTAAGACTTCTTCACTTCAGCATCTTGTCGTCACTGGGCCGACCCACTGATGTTTCCTAAGCAACAAAATGCCGCCTCGGTTTCTAATTTAATGGCCAAATTTCAGTTGTCGCATTATTAACCTTCGATGAACAGGAACTTACATTATTGCAAGTTGGATCATTTCTCATTCGCGTTTCTCAAATGGCCTGTAAATATTTAAGCGGAGGAATATAAGTTATTGTTATTATATATTTATTTTGAACTGCCAAACCAACAATTTGAAAATGTAGTAAAAGTTACAGACGACAAGAAATAAGGTAGAGAGTTCAAAATAGAGAAACGTGGAACGGTGGTTCGTTTAGTGGACTCGTGCTGCATGTAGCAGCCGGCCGGCGTTGTCGCATGGGTACAGCATGCATTAAATTTGCAAGCCACCTTATTTACCCCAGGATGTTATTTCATCTAGCATGAGACACTACTACTTATTATTAGTGAAATATGCCTATCCAAAGTAACACGGCCCAAGATCGTAATGTTCCCCCACACCAGCCTTCACGGTCACCCCATTTTGCTGGCACTAAAAAAACCGTAATTGGTTGCATTAAAACGTTACCCCAGGTGGCATCAAATTTGTTAATAGTTTGTTTGCTTTTAGACGCATAACATACATATAAAGCGGTGTTATTATTGGTTGAGTATAGTACGCTAATGTCGGATATGATGGCTGGCGTTTGAATCCGGTCATGTCAGTCATCCGACAATTCACACAATAGATCAATCAAATGAGATGTCCTTTTCAACAACGTAGTGCAATTCACTCCCGGAAAAAATCTATATATCATCGCAAATATACGAGAATTAGCTATAAACAAATGTTTGCTTTATTCTTGTTAGAAGCGGCTCGCCACTTCCGATGTGTGCGTTCCGTAGGACTGGATAGAAGCTGCGACGTGAATGCACAGAGCCCGTGTCGCGAGAAAGCCGCTATGATAATATAACCATTGTGCTACCCGTTTCTCTCGCCTCATCTGAGTCGATCCTGTTCACTGTTTTTATTTCACGTCCATAAATATCAGAGAAAACGCCTTCATATTTAAATTTTGATTAAAAAGGCTCATGTTTTCTCACAAGATTGGGACCACCCGCTAGTGTGTATCTACAGTACGTTTACAACTGACACGACCTTTAGCTATAATCACTATACTTGCTTTACTTATAACAGCGCTGACATTGATAGTTACCGGCGAAATCCAAACCAAATTGCTGATGACCCCTTTCTAAAATGTCGCTGATGTGATTTACGCTGGGTGATTCGATTTCAAAATGTTGTCTTCGCTTTGTTGTTACGGGGAAGAGTGGGAGCAAAGCCGAACAGCAGAGATCAATGCTTATCGCATTCATCTAATAAATATCATATTCAAACATACCGTAGTGGAAATGATGAATACCATTATCGATGGTCGCTGTCTCTCTCCGCTCTTTGTATGTTGACTTACCAGAACCTGACTAAGGTCTAATTACGAAATGCTAGAATATACGTTTAAGCACCAATAACAAGCGCATCGTGTCAAATGTGAAAACAAAAGATTTTGAGCAGATAAATGAATCAAATATGAAAACCATGTTATATTTAGATTAGAAACTGTTTACGTAAATATAGTACGAAATACACTAATGTGTGAGGTTGTCGTGAAACAACGAATATCCCTCGATATTTTGACCCAAAATTTCGATCAATTGTGGTGAAAAATTTGGAGATTTCGTTTCGCTCCAAACATACTATGTAGATACTGATTGCCTTAGACTGCAATTGCATTTTTTAAAAATTTAAGAAAGATCTATAATTTACTGAATTACCGAATTCTTCTCATTTGTTTAAATTAAGACACGAGTTTAAGCTAATTTATAAAATAAAAAATTCATAAAAAGCAATCAAAAAATAAACATGTTAATAGATTATTATTGAAATTAAAATTTCCAAGGCTAAAATAGTATTTTGTTATCCTAACATTATCAAACCAATCAAGTCAATTATTGCTGTACGAAAGCGGATCACATCGGACAGTCCGTATAGATAGTACGATGTGTCAGTACAATCATCTTTACGATTCTCACCATACTTTGGAATTAAAATAATATAAATGTTAGCAGTGCGATGAACGAACATTTGACAACTATAGACAACTATGGACAATTCAATGACAGAAGCTATTTAAATATTTATATGAATTGATTGCTTGTCAGTTGCTTTTTTATTTTATTTTATTTTTATTTAGCGTTATATTACGCAGTTTTAATAAGTTGTATAGTATATTATCTTAATGTCTTGTTACGTATGAACATTGTTACAGAAGCCGCTACGTAAGGAAGTTACTGCATGGGTTGATATTAATCCTGTTTTGGTGGGTCAATTGCGACTGTACGTTAAGTACCGACGTGTTTTATATTATGTCGACTTTCATACTCAATGGACGAAGACGGAAGTTGTAAATGCCGTACAGTAAACATGATGGAAGAAACCTTCTACTCTCTGATTTCCACTTCATCGAGCTTCAACCTTTTTTTTCTTCACAGCGCACAAATTCATTTCCGCGAATGTGGTTGTAGGCTTTTTAAATAGCGGTGTTTTGGATCGTTTAAAACGACGACAAATTGGCATAGCTGTCATTTTAACAAAATGTATAGGGGAACCCGCCGGCCATGCATGATCCGCCCGCTACACAGTGTACACATTAGTCTCGTGTGTAATTAAAATATGTGTATTGATACACACATTAGAAAATGAATGTTACTCTGTGTCATTTTGACCAGAACGGAAATACCAGCCAATCAATGTTTAAATGGCTCCGAAAATGTGACTATCATGCCTTGAACAAGACTCAATCCACTACACGACATTTATTTTGCCATTGTTCCATCCGGGATGCTTGGCAGGTGGATAGGAAGTGGGTGGACCATGCGGTAGGAAGGTCGTAAAAATAAAAGTCTACCTCATAATAAAATATGAATGCATTAATCGCTGGGTCTTGTTATTTTCCAAAATGTTTTTATTAGACGGTTCATATGTATGTTACGCCTCTCGCCTCCCGGCTAACCATAATACACACACCATTTGCGTTAACGAACCACCGTGACCCGACGCTGATTCCATCGTACAGACGATGTACACCGTGACCCCCGACGCTGATTTCGTCGTACAGGCTTAAAGAATGACACAATAATTTCGTCAAATATAAAATCAAATATCTGTATATAACAGATCAACAAACTGCACCCAATATTTATTATGCGGTGGGTGAAATCGGTGGATATAATTGACATATTTAGCTTAGTCTGCAACCCAATACAACTGGGTTTGCATATAGGTGATTATACTGATACAGTTACTATACTGCACTATATAAGCACTTTCATTATCCACACAATGGCATCTAATCTGATTTAAGAGCTGTGCTTACTCCTCCGTTGTTTGTTTTTGAGGATTAGTGAGTTCACAAATGCCTAATCGATTTGTTATGTTTCCATTGTATGGATAATCTCATTTTGAAATTATTATCAATTTCTTTGTTCATTTATAAATGCGAAAAAATAACATTTTATGATACAAACAACGGGATATATTTTTCGCTTTGGGTATTATGTCGGCCGCAAAGGCAAAGCTCCTGAATGCCGATGTAACAACGGCGACGTTACTTGTTATTTCGGCCGGCGTAACGTGTGTTCAGGGCATAATTTCAAAGGAACGCGATTGACCAACGCTCTTATCGAATACGCCTGGGAAATCATATAACACATCGCTCACCTGCATTTTGATATTCCGTTATTAAGAATGTTTTATTTCACGGCAAATACACCACACATCCATATATATATTTATCAATGTAATACAAAAAAGAGTCACTTTCTCTGATTTCAGTCGAATTGAAAGAACAACGTAAAATAATATATTCGTCTTGTTTCCTTATAATTATGCTTAGAGTTGGAAAGTCCTTGTAAGTAGCACTGACGGTACACCGTCTCTCATAAGTTATGTTGTTCCATACGGGGTCTAGTTCGTCACATGTAGTGTCATGAGGTTAGATGGTGACGAGAATAATAACATAGATACAGCCTACCTAGCTAGTTGCATGGTCGGTTGCTATGATGGCGCCTGGCTATATGGTGCACTCGGAGATTCAGTACCAAATATAACAAAACTATTTACATCTTTCTTACTTTTTGTCCGAATCCAATTCTTTCGCAAGCAAATGAAAGCAGAAAGAAAAGAGTGCATCCTCCCTTAAAATAGCGTCATCGTGTGTTCTCCAGGATGTCTTTGGAAAAAAAGACCGCATGTGGCCGAATCTCTGAGCTCTTCCTTTTCTCGTCGGCCCCTATATCACAGAGAGATGTCTACCTCTTACTACTATGACGTGTCTTATTAAATAACAGCCAGCACTGACATGATGCTAAGGCGTACACGTGAGAGAAGACGAAGAGTTCGAAGGTATAAAATTGCCCGTAGCGTTCCTTGCCTCCTCGGCTGCCCATGGTTGTAGATTTTGCAACGCGTTCAGCGACGCATTCTGTAGTACTAGTGGATCACTCCTTCCTTCTTGTAGACTCAAATTTTTCATTGCAACTTCATGTTGTATAGTGAACATAAACCTATTTGCAGCTTGTCGTTCAGCCTCTCGCTCTTCGGCTGTCTGCCTCCTATATTAAAGAAATTATTAAAGATTATTGTAACAGTTATACTGTATACAACTTCAGAGCATTTCGTATTAACTTTGTACATTTGTTTCATCACTACTGTATATGCGATACCATATTACTGACATGTCTCGAATCATGTTGTCTCGTTGCCTTATCTCATTCAATGATATAGACCATGAACCCATCGGATGCAGCTTTGATTGACTACAAAATATAGGCATTATGTCTCTGTATCATATCTGGTCTGTGTTCGGTCCACCTCTTTCGTTTGTCACCACTCAAGTTAACAGGCGACCCGTCGACTCAGTGATCTGTCATGCCTACTTAAAGCAGCTTGATTTGAATTGACCAGGACAAGGTGATCAAATAGTAGCGACCTTTGGGGTGTACAACACAACAGTATGGTATTGTTTTTAAATATAAAGGCAATGCACCATCTAGTGTGACTCACCTCCATTTTGTCCTCCTGTTCTGGAACCATGTTTTAACTTGGGCGTCTGTCATTTTTAGTGCCTTAGCAAGCGCAGCTCTTTCTGCGGAAGCGAGGTACTTCTGTCGGTGAAAACGCTTCTCCAATTCACAAATCTGCAAACGAGAAAACGAGGTCCGCGGCTTCTTGCGTTTCGGTGGTGTCCGGTTCTGGTAGGGGTGGCCAATTCGTCTGGTAACTGTAACGGAAACAAGAAAATCAGTGGAACTCATGTAAGCTTTAACAGAAGGTAAATGTTTAAAAACAAAACAAAGGCCTGGTAAATTAGATAAGCGACCAAGGTAGCGTAACGGACGGCCCACATTGTGTTGTTTCAATGCTACACTGTGCTGTGTTAAAGACTTAAGTGTACGGGGTATATCGTATAAATTGTAGTCGATAGTTATGTTAGCCCCTACTGAGAAACAGCATGAAACCTGCTACACACACACCACCAATTATTGACCTGCCATTTAAAAATTATCGTATCGGTGACTTGTGATAAAAAAGCTAGTAATGTGTGTAATGTCAAACGATCGTAACTACTCACCAGTTAGTCTGTCCTTAGCGAGCCTTCGCGACTCCATCCAAGGGAAAGTTGAACTCAATGAGGCGGGAGGTGGTCTATGCGCCGGTACCCTGATCACCCCTGCGGTAGAGTTGTATGACGGTAGAAATGGTTGGGGATATAGCAAGGCTCCCGACGAGACAATTGAGCTGAAAGTTGGCGAAAGAGGTAGACTTGTGGATGACGTTGTCATCGGCGTGCTCAAAATGTGGTTGATACTGAAGGAAAGTGAGTTTGAACTAGATTGTTGTCGGCGACGGTCATTTTCCTCCTCTTCGGTATCGGATTCTTCCCTCTTTACGTCCTCCTCAAACGTATCTTTCATGGTGGCTGGAGACGGACTGTACTGCGATTTAAGTGTGTCCATGTGAGGCATCACGTTACACTCAGTTTCGTCGACCAAATAACTTTTTTTTTTTAATTTTGTTCAAAGTGAAGACTCCAACCGCAGATATGTCGTTGTTCAAGTTGATTCAAGAGCATTCCAAATTGGTGCTATCAGCTTCCTAAGGTTATGTCAATCTAACTGTATACATGGTAGCAGACGAAGCGATGAATCAAGTTGGTGGCTCCCCTATAAACGCGTCTGTTTGGTTCCTTACATATGCACGCACTTACTAAACATAACCATTGAGGGGAACACTTTCCTGTCTTCTGATTGGCTGAGTCTAAATGCCCCTTGGACAATTGTTGAGAACCGAGGAAGCAGCTAGTCAAATGAAATGGCACTGTAAGCTCCGCCTAGGGTAGGTCTTCCTAATCAATATCAACTTTGATGTATTAGTCAGCAATATCATTACTCATCCTATACTTAACTCGCTGCTCAAAGTTCAACGTTTCTGGTCTCCATGTTTATGAAAGTGTGATGCATTTTTCTAATTATGAACCCGTTAGTTCTGAAATTTATATTCTACTGCCAATTAACCAGATGCAATGTTCGCTGATACGTTCACGTTGTTTAGCACTGATTTACGATTATGCGCAATGCATCACGGTATGCGTCAAAAGTCGGAATACCATTAGCCTAAACTTTAACAACTATTTCTAGTTTTTTTTATTTATTATTTATTTGTTCAAGTTAAAACTGCAGATAACACAACATTCAATAAGCCTATTTAAATAGATTCTTAAAGTTTCCTGCCCCTTTTGCAAATTTGTGAAGTACTATCCCTGACCAATATATGCATTACCATCATCACATTGCTTCAGTCCTGTATTTGAAACACCGATGCCTATAACAAAGTACCATTTAAACTTATTTCATATAAAAAATCTAAACGAATCTATCACAGCGCAAGTATTTTCAAACATGTTTGTACAGCCTGAAAATGAGATGGCCGGCGTACCGCTCGGTTGTACCACCCACGTTCGACCTCAGTGTACACTGTTATCGAAACTTGAGATGAAATATAAAGGTGTCAATTACGGTAAGTGTGATTTCAACTCAAATATTTCGGAGAGAGTTGATGTAAATCGTGAAATGCATGCACACTGAAAATGAGAACATACACACATATTAAAATTATTCTATTTATTGTTATGACCGCGTTATTTTTAGGTTTTGTCAATACTCATTGCCTTTGTCGCATCATGACATTAGCTGCGCGATGACTTTTGGAATATTAAATATAACCGCAGCCCATTGAACATATACTAAATTGGGGATTGCCTCAATACACAATGAACATTAACGCAATTAGGATTATTGAAAATAAAGCCAAACCGAAAATGGGGTGAAACGTCTTAGTATACCCACTGTACCCCAATTAAAATTATTGCCAATCTTCGTCAAATAATGCCTTTTCATTGCCGTGATCTGTGAATGTCGTGTTTAACTTGCCTGCCAAACAAATCTAAGTGTCGATGCTGTTAGTAGCAGCCATTGACACGAGGTCATGTTTTTGGAAACGCGAAATACGCATTTTAAAAGCAAAGTAACAATTTTTAATACACATCCTAAATTGGCAAAGCCAAAAGGTCACAAAAATGATTAAATTTTGGAGGAGAAGAGAAGCTACGTTCAGACGCTCGACTGGGGATCCCGGAAGACTGGCGTCAACGCTGTAGGGCAGAGAACGATCATCAAATCTCATCACTGTGTTTTTATAATGTGTCTGTATGTGGCTAACTATTTAAAGTAAATATATCCAGTGACTGTGGAATAGACTATAGTTTGGGAAATGATGACGTGATTTGAATACTTTACTTGAATATATGATTAGGTTGGCTGAAACATGACCGCTACTCACTGACTATTATGCAACAGTGTTGCTATCATGATAAATCTATTGACAATGCATTTTAATTATTTCTTTGTCGCGATGAAACCAATATTAAAAAAGTAATTTCAAAGTACACCAAGAACTTTGACGTAATAGTGTGGCTTCTGGAAATGCAATTCCATTTTACGCCTAGTAATAGTATCGGTGTCGATTTTCCTCTCAGATAACAACTGGTAAAAATTAATTTTCACGGGAAAATGTCTCGCCATTACGGAATATACGACTTGTATGGTATCAAAAACGACTTAAAATTCCGATCGTCAACGGAGATAACATCCAAGGTATCAGCCGAAAAATAAATATACATAGTCTATTCCACTTTGTTGGCATAGCAATTGAATATGTTTACTGAATAAATATGTTTAACACTATAATCAGTTAGAAATCGGACCATAAAATAATACTGGCGACAAGAAGTAAAAAGAATACATTAATAGAATGAACAAATCAATCTGTAATCTAGTAATAAATATGCACTTGGAGAGTTCTTTGTGCGATATTATGATGTGTTTGATATTAAAAGCATGATATGGTATCATTATATCAAGACTAGAACACGTGACATTAACGAAGAAATACTAATTAATTATTGTCTTTCCAAGTCGCAATTGTTAAGAAGAAAGGAAAAAATAACGCCGTACTGGGGCGTTTTAAAATACATACATAAATACATATAGTAGTAGCACTCACAGTACCTGAACCCCGGTACCAAAGCGGTTTATGAACGTAATGCAGTGCGTGGCACTCACAGTATACGAACCCCGGTACCAAAACAGTTATGGACGTAATGCAGTGCGTGGCACTCACAGTATACGAACCCCGGTACCAAAACAGTTTATGAACGTAATGCAGTGCGTGGCACTCACAGTATACGAACCCCGGTACCAAAACAGTTATGGACGTAATGCAGTGCGTGGCACTCACAGTATACGAACCCCGGTACCAAAACAGTTATGAACGTAATGCATTGCGTTATATAATGCGTCACTACTATATAGGCGACGGCCCAATGCATCACAGTGAAAAAAAAAAACGCGCAGATTATCATTGTTGAAATATAAGCCGCTCCTAAGCTCTCTAATTTAGTGCCTAAACAATCGCGGCAATCTGCCGTTGATTTTGTTTCTAAAAAGGATCATCTCATTTTTGTGGGAGGGAAACACTGACAAACTGTCCCAGATCAGATTAGTTTTGATTATTTTTGAAAAGAACGCAAATTGGGTAATATCAGCCAATTTAAAATGAGCGAGTCGTTTATTCAATATATATAAATATATACAATTCATTCATTGCATATTATACGTGGTACATGCAATAACTAAAGAATAAATGTATACTACTTCTGTCACCAGAATAATTGTTATTTTCAACAACGTAAAAGTTTTGAGGCGGAGCCGGGAGTCGGTGGAATAATAACATTTACTCTTCCACTCGCTAAACCAATAAACAGTGTTCGCTCCGTCAATGGGTGTTTTTAGAATGAATGGTCCCTAAATTCGTGGCAGCATGGCTTGCGACCATATCATGCAGCTTTTTATGTTTCACTTTCCCACACTGTATTCTCTTATACATCATCAAATATGGATGACGGATGTCATTTGTCATGGATGATGGCGAAACGGAGTCTTTTTGATGATATTAAAAAGTCTTTGGGCAATCCATTGCTTGGCAATACTGTTTAAATAACTTATAACCATCAAAGTAATCGTGTTGTTTATATTTTTTATAATAACCTGATATTTTTTTATCAATGTGCGTATTTGCTGTTAATACTCTGTTATTTCCGGCGTTTGTGGTAATCGTCGGTGCAGTAGACTTTTCATACGTCAGACTGTCTATTTCCGCTCCATGGAAACAAAAGCTTTCGACCCAACGCCACGGCCAACCTAGGTACTCATCACACGAACCGTCAACCATGCGCCACCATATAATAATGTTATTTTAACTAAATATGAATAATTACGTACAAAACAATTAAAAGGCTTGCCATTCTTTCAATCGAAATATTCTTTCACGATATCAACAACATGTCTATATACAAAATAAGAATTATCTTTCGCCAAATTATAAATCTGTATTTTATATGAAACAGCATTAAAATGAAACGCATGCAAGACAAATGAAAATACGTTTACAGCTGCTACGTCGAGGGCTTCTGAATTATTACCATCTTAGTAAATGTAAAAGAACAGGCTCATTATCGTAATATATCTAGCTGGATCAAAGATGAGCAACATTAGTGTAACATGTTAAATGATACGACCACCGATCGTTAATGAAAAATTGAAAAACAAAACGAGAGCTGTCCTTCGTTGCAGCATTGAAAATTAATCGACATTTTGATGGCACGGAAAACGGAATATGAGCCGTAAATTCACTCATAAATCTCCTCGGACGAGCCTTATCGCGATGATCTCTAACTACTTCGTTTTTTCCTAAACTTTTTACGGCCGGGGCTCAACGAGTCAGCAATCGGCGCCAGGCATGTGTAGTCGGAGAAAATTTATACGCTAAATGATCTCCCGAGCATTGGTGCTTAGCGTCATCGTTATGACAGTGTATACTCGTTTACTTTTCAGTTTTTGTGCACAATTTGTCCCTAAAGACAGCTCACCATCCCCGTTTAGGCTGCTTAAATTGCGGGGATTGGAAACAAATCAAGTCCTGATAGTCTTTCGCCTCATCCGTAATTCAGTTGCTGGTAATGGTTAAATGGGTGCTACTTAAACCCTGATAGCACATACAAATTCTAATCAACACGCAAGCCATTAATTCTCAAATGTTTTCATATTTTTGTATGGGAAAACACGCGATGACGATCATCTACGCCAACAATAACATTAAATTCCTCAAGACTAAACAACTTTTCACCACTCCGCCATACATCCGATTGCATCCGAACGTACTTGGAATTGAACATCGAATTAATGGTAGACAAGGTGTGTTTCTTCATATTTAAACAGCTGCATAATGTAATATGAAAACAAAACAAAACAAGAAATGGCTAAGAAGTTGAGATTTTAATAACAGCAACATTACGTAATGCTATCATTAAATATAATATAAACAAAATATAGACCGTCAATTGTCTAATGTGTTTACTTGCCACTAATCACATTAATTAGAACACCGGTGATAAGAATATTGTTTTAATGTACAAATAAGAATCAATATGTGACGTGGAGGCACAAAAATTGACATTGCTTGATTATGGAACTGATAATTAAACGATACTTATTCAGATAAGGTACGTAATA